TACATACATATAAATTGATTTGTAAGGTGTGGTGTTCTCTACAGTATATTTATACATTCATACATACAAACACACCTTACAAATCAAGTGTTCTCTACAGTGTACTTACTTATACATACATACATACATATAAACACACCTTACAAATCAAGTGTTCTCTATAGTGTACTTATACATACATACATATAAACACACCTTACAAATCAAGTGTTCTCTAAGGATGCTTTTGTATTTTTCAGTTTTTCATATGAGTTACAGCCTCGATGCAGAATTTCACAAATTAAAGTTTTGCATTACTTATCCCTTAATTAATGAAACATAATAATTTTTTTTTAAATAATGTTTTTCTCTCAAAACAAGCAATAATAATTAGTCTTAATTTCAAAACTTGGGAAGGTCATCTTTTGCTGTGGAACTTTCTGCTAAGACAGTCAATATGGGGCACTAGGTGGTCTGGGCACACAGTTCGTTTCAATGTGAGAACCTAGCTCCTCACTGCAAGAAAGAGCTGAAAGAGACTGCCCATTGGATTTCAAAGAAAAGATTCTAGCCAATTTATCATCTAAACTGTTGTGTATTTCTTGACTAGACTCGTGTTTTGTTTGATTTAACTTTTCGCAAGTGAAATCACAAGATTTAGTTCTGGCACATTGTGGTTCAGTAGAAGCATTTGGGAGAATCTGGGAGAAGTTTCCACTGCACAGGGATGTGGATCTAGATATCTGTCTACCCCTAGAATGATGGTCATCCCAGCCTGTTGACAGTTGTTTTATTTCACAACAACATAGTTGCTCAGTTACCTCAGGCAAGCTGATCATGCTACTACCTCCAGATGAAAGTGTTGACTTTGGTTTTACACTTTTCCCTGCTCCTGGCCTCTCACCTACACCAGGACTTTCATCTATGAAACTGACACAACACTCTCTCAAGTCCTTCCGAGGCTCAGAGTGTTGGCTTTCTGGAATACAGGATGCTAAAGGACTACCGTCAACTCCCACCTGCTGCTGTCGCCCAGACGTTCTCCATCGATACCCATACCCTCCACCACCTCGAGCACTCCCACCTTCACCATAACAGTACGAGAGACAAGAGTCTTCTGTCCGCACAGAAACAGTTTCACATGCTTTGCAATCAGCAGCATTACCCCCTCCTTTCAGTATGCCATGAGGAAGAGAAGTATCCTCAGTCGAACCCTCGGCATCAACATGGATATCCACTGTATCTCTAAAAAAGAAAGAAAACTTGTTTCAAAGGCAAACCTATTATACTAAAACTTAACATACTACCAAGAGAAAGATGCATTATAAAACTGGATAACAAAGATGTTTTCAAAGATTCTTCGAGTAACAGTTCTTTACTACGAAGACAAATACCCTGATCATTTGCCAGTGTTTCAGTGAAACATGATGTTATCTAAAGTTATTTCACACAACTGTGTCATCCTGTAATATCTCTTGTTATTTGAGACAAAAACCCGTTGAATAATTCTTCACAAGAACATATTTCAACAGTAACCAATGTTATTTCGAAAAAAAATATTTTAAAACTATACACTCCTTGTCAATTTCGTTTAAGAGGTTAGCTTGTTTGTTTTTGAATTTCTCGCAAAGCTACACGAGGGCTATCTGAACTAGCCGTCCCTAATTTAGCAGTGTAAGACTAGAGAGAAGGCAGCTAGTCATCACCACCCACCGCCAACTCTGGGGCTACTCTTTTTACCAACAAATAGTGGGATTGACCGTCACATTATAACACCCCCACAGCTGAAAGGGCGAGCATGTTTGGTGGGAGAGGGATTCGAACCCCGACCCTCAGATTGGGAGTCGAGTGCCTTAACCACCTGGCCATTCCGGGCCAATAACAGGAACCTCTAGTATAGCCATCATATCACATCTTCACATACCTCAGATCACATTATAACGCCCCACGGCTGAAAGGGCGAGCATGTTTGGTGGGAGAGGGATTCGAACCCGCGACCCTCAGATTGGGAGTCAGGTGCCTTAACCACCTGGCCATGCCGGGCCAAGAGGTTAGCAAATAACAGGAACCTCTTGAACCTCTAATATGGCCATCATATCACATCTTCACGTACCTCAGATCTGCAATCCGCCTTCTGTCACAGATACGAAGCAAACCAAATTTGAGTGGAACAAAATTACATGGGGAAGGGGGAGTTCTTAACCTCAAGAGGCTGGGGATATCTTGGGGACCCATGGAATTCATCCAGCCGGTAACATAGCTAGTTTTACCCACAACTATATGTAACAAATTACAGTTATCGGGATAAATATTTCATTAAACCTTTAGGTGCGTACACTTCTCAAGTGTAACAACCTCATACCACTGAAGTATGCCCTTACTTTCACACATAGTTATTAATTTTAAACAAACTTCACAAACATTATATATTTTTCAAATAGTAGGACTTTATGTCTGTAAATATATGGGGTATTATTCTAATGAGCTATAGTCGTATGTTTATTCAGTAATTAAATACTGATTCTGTACAGTGAAAGGCACACAATTAAACCCAGTCTTTCAGAAATCAGCTATAGGTGAAGAATTTCACTTGTTAATGGTATTCTTTCACACACATATTTCACTTGTTAATAGTATTCTTTCACATAGATATTTCACTTGTTAATGGTATTCTTTCACATAGATATTTCACTTGTTAATGGTATTCTTTCACATGGATATTTCACTTGTTAATAGTATTCTTTCACACAGATATATTTCACTTGTTAATAGTATTCTTTCACACAGATATATTACTTGTTAATAGTATTCTTTCACATAGATATTTCACCTGTTAATAGTATTCTTTCACATGGATATTTCACTTGTTAATAGTATTCTTTCACACAGATATTTCACTTGTTAATAGTATTCTTTCACATAGATATTTCACCTGTTAATAGTATTCTTTCACACAGATATTTCGCTTGTTAATGGTATTCTTTCACATAGATATTTCACTTGTTAATAGTATTCTTTCACACAGATATTTCACTTGTTAATGGTATTCTTTCACACAAATATATTTCACTTGTTAATAGTATTCTTTCACACGGATATATTTCACTTGTTAATAGTATTCTTTCCCATGGATATTTCACTTGTTAATGGCATTATTTCACACAGATAAACTTACATAAAACATTATTATTTACAGCACCTGTCCTCACTACTACTAATGTTTAATAACAACTGTAAAAGAAACTAAATCTCCACTTTAAAGTAACATCTGCTGCATTATAGCAAGTTGTTGTTTTTTCAAATACTGTATCTACACTTTCACAACATAAAGCTAGCAAGATCTAATCTTTAACTTACCTGTAACCAAGTAGAGACCCAGCAAGGGCTTTCGTACTAGCATCATCAGCAAGAGAAAGGTTCGCCGAGGCTGTTTCAGTATGACTGCTTAAACTGAGTCTTTTATTAGAGGATATATCAGCTTGAACCTCTAATCTAGAAGATAAAACATTCTGATACAGTGTTATTTATCACAATCTTATGTACGTATATAGTAATTTTTAATGTGGAGTCACAAATGTAAACATAAGTGTAGAGTCAAAAGTGCAAGCATAAGTCTTTTGGGTGGAAAACAGATGTGTGTGGCATAAGTAGAAACTAGTCTTTAAATATATCATTTGGACTGTTGAATATAAAAAACTTTTACACTGCAATTAGACGCAAGTTTACAAAATCTCAAATTTAACAAGCAGAGATAGGAAGTACGATGGAATTACAGTGTGTTAACACTATCGTTAGTATCTATGTGGTCTTCAGAGCATAAATACAGTTGTATTTTCAAGTTTCACCTCACAACATAATATACACCAAAACATGTCGACCAGCATCAGTATGGGCAGTGGAAGTCACCTGGAGCGGGTCGGCTTGATTCCGGAAAGCGTAAGTAACACGGCGTTAGCTGGGAGTATAGCCAGTTCTTCGTTAGCGGCCACAGCGGCTCAGAAGTAAGTTTTCCGTATCGGTTTAACACTACTGAATTGGTTTCTATTTAATAGATGATCGAACCAGGTGTTTTATGTTATTTCGTGTATATTATGTTGTGAGGTGAAACTTGAAAATACAACTGTATTTATGCTCTGAAGACCACATAGATACTAACGATAGTGTTAACACACCCAGAGGAAACTTCACCAATACTTGGGTTGACTCCTCTGTGGCTCGCTGCTGTATCTACACTCATGCCATCTAGTGGGAAAACAAATATCTGTTAACTAATCTTAAGGTTATGGTTTCTAAACTCAGAACCATCAAATAAAAAACTCCACCTACTGTAAAGTGTAGGGAAGTTTCTTCTTACCTGCTGCTACACCAATATCATTTTCTTCATCAAATTCAAACCTCACTCCAGATGCTGATGTGGTCACTCCGCAGCCACCAGAACGACAGAGGGAAATGGGAACTACTCCGTACACATATGCTAGTAAGATGGGCACCCCGATGCCTAGTTTGACAATTTATAAGCACTATCAGTAAATGCTGGTTTATATTTACACAACAAAGCTATAAACACACGTAACCAGTGTCCAAAATCATTTAGTTACTCAAAAAAAAAACTACAGTAAGCGAAAGCGATTCAAAACTCGTATCATACGTTTAAGATAGGATAACATAAAATCCTCAAACAACTTGTGTAGCTTTACATGAAAAAATTTTGAAACTTAACAACATCTTAGATCTCGCTTTGTTGCCACAGTATAAGATGCAGTTCTTAATACCCATCAGTTTGTTTATTTCAAAATTACTGCACAAAGCAAAACAAAGGGCTATCGGTGCATAACCATCCCTCATTTATAACAAACGCGGTGAGGGCAGCTTGTCAACAGCACTCACTGCTAACTCTTGGCCAACTCTTATCTGATCAAATAGTGGGATTTGACAGTCACTCTTATTCCACCTACAGATTCCCAAAGTGCAGAGCTTGATTTTGTAGCTAACAAATTGCAATCGGCAATCCTGTAAACTGCAGTCACTAAGTACAATCAGTCCCTGGAAGTGCTTAGAGAGGATACTTTCGGTCACTAAGTACAATCAGTCCCTGGAAGTGCTTAGAGAGGATAATTTCGGTCACTAAGTACAATCAGTCCCTGGAAGTGCTTAGAGAGGATAATTTCAGTCACTAAGTACAATCAGTCCCTGGAAGTGCTTAGAGAGGATAATTTCGGTCACTAAGTACAATCAGTCCCTGGAAGTGCTTAGAGAGTGCTTATAAAGAGAATGTACTGGCCAGATATTTTGAGTAGATATTTCATTATTATTCAACCACTTCCACATGTAGATACAATTGAATTAAAAAAGTATGTACTTCAGATGTGGGTGGGATTTGGGACCAAAATTTGACGGGGGGGGGGGGGAGAGTTCTAACTCAATTTCTGTGAATGTGTGTTCACTATGTCTCATAAAAAAAAATAATTAAAAATCTAGAAATAATGCTGTTTTATTAAATAAATAAACACAAAACCAAAGGGTA